TGTGACTCCAAAGCTATTAGAGTTAAATGTCCCCACTGTCAATGAGGGCATTCAAAGACTCTAGCATCAAGGTTGGATAGCTGTGAATCAACAGTGGCCCGGCTCAATAATTCAAATTCTGATTCTGGCAAGCATTTCTGAAGCCAGCTCTGGACCCTCCGATGAGGATGTGCAGAATTAAATAAAGCAAAACGTGGGATTGGCCCAAACTAGAAAAGGCACCATTTTCTCAGCCAAAACTGTTCAAAGCCTAAGGATTTTTAATTTGTTTGATTTTTTTTTCTTTTTCTATTTGGGGAGTTGGTAAAAATTGGGAACTTGTATATAAATTGCCTCATATATCAATTAGAATCTGTTAAAACTGCATTTAAGGAAAGCTTACCTAATATTTTATTAATGCTTATAAATGTGCATATAGTTCTAATATAAATAATCCTCCCAGGTATTACAATATTTTAAGATTGAATGGAACCTTCTAAACTATTACAATAATGATTTTGGCAGCCAGTTTGAGCAAAACAAGAGAGTAGGCAGTGGCCTAGAATGGTTTATTCTAGGGTATGTTCTCATTGCTTCATTCAGAAATCCATTGTCGGCTAGGTGCAGTGGGTTGGGGCTGTAAAACTAGCACTTTGAGAAACTGAGGCCAGAGGATCACTTGAGTTCAGGAGTTCAGTACTAGCCTGAGCAAAGCAAAACTCCGTCTCTACTAAAAATAGAAAAATTAGCAGAGCAAGGTGGTGTGCACCTGTAGTCCCAGAGGCTGAGGCAGGAGGATCACTTAAGTCCAGGAGTTTGAGGTTGTTGTGAGCTAGGCTGAGGCCACAGCACTCTAGCCTGTGAGAAAAGAAGGAAGGGAGAAAGGGAGAGAAAAAAGGAGGGAGAGGGGAGAAGGAAGGAAGGAATTTAGCATCCTAAATTGACCATTTTGGGCTTAGCACCTGTAGCTCAAGGGGCTAAGGTGCCAGCCACATACACCAGAGCTGGCGGGTTCGAATCCAGCCTGGGCCTGCCAAAGAACAATGACAGCAACAACCAAAAAATGGCCAGGCATTGTGGTGGGCACCTATAGTCCCAGCTCCTTGGGAGGCCGAGGCAAGAGAATCACTTAAGCCCAAGAATTTGAGGTTGCCGTGAGCTATGATGCCACAGCACTCTACCCAGGGTGACAGCTTGAGACTCTGTCTCAAAAATATAAATAAAAAGCAACCTTATTCTTCAAGGTGCTCAGGGCAAAAACTTGATATCATCCTGATTCTTGATTTCCTTCTTACAGCCCACATCTGGTATCAGCAAGTCCTACTGGCTTTTCTTTCCAAATATTCTCGGTATATCTTCCTTCTTATCCCCCTTTCTGCCACCAGTGAGGTTCAAACCCCACTTGTCTCTGGCCCAGATTATAGTTAGGGTTTCCTTGCTGCTCTCTCTGCTCTTGTCCTCCCTTATTCACTCCTTTACTAATTCCGTTGCTCAAAACCTCCAAGGGCTTTCCTCCCGCCTAGGGTAGCATCTAAAGCCTGGCAATCGCTGCCGAGCCCTTACAGTTCACCACTTACCATCTCTCCGCCTGCATTTGCTGCTACTCTGCTCATCACTCTCGCCAAGATGGCCCTGCTGCTTCTGGAACCCCCAGGCTCTGCTTTTCCTAGTCCTCCTGCCTGGAATGCTCCTCCCACAGATCCTCACGGGGCTACCTGTCTGTCTCAGGCTGCGTATCCTGGGTAACAGAACACAAGGGTCCTTGGTAAAGAACATAGCTCATTTCTCACACTTCTGGAGGCTGGGAAGTTCCAGGTCAAGGTGGCAGTAAGTTCAGTTTTGCTGTCTGGTGAGGGCTGGCTGTCTCTGCTTCCCACCTTGTCGTCTGGAGGGGATAGAGGCTGTGTCCTCACAGGGTAGAAAACCAGAGGGGAAAAGGTCCTAGTTCCTTCCCTCTGGCCCTTTTATAAGGGCACTAATCCTATTCATGAGGACTCTGCCCTGGTGACTTCATCACTCCCTCAAGGCCCCATGAGTTAATACTATTATGCGGGGGTTTACCTGCTAACATGCCAAGTTTGGTGGGACGCATGTACTCAATCCACAGGGAGGACTTACCTCAAAAGTCAATTTCTCAACAAGGCCTTCTCTCTGGCTAAAATCTCAACCCCGTGTCCCGCCCTCAATGCATGTCATTCCTCCTCACTACCACACTTCTTTCCATCAGACTCAGTCTATGTCACTCTCTAATCTCACGCATTTTCCTCATCTAGCTCGTTCACTGTCTGTCTTCCCTGCTGGATTCCAAGCTTCATGCAGACAGGGATTTTTCCTGTCTGGTTTGTTCACTGCTATTTCTCCAGTGCCTGTCACGTAGTAGATGCTAAAAACATCTTTGTAAATGTTGCTGAATTTCATTCAGACAAAATTGAAATTATGAACATTTTACATAAAAGGACAGCAAACATTTTTTCCATTTATAGACTTGTTGGGTATCCAGTCAGTCCTAATGAACAGTTCTGAAATCAATCCTAATTACCTGACAACATGATGTCCAAACTGGGGTATTTATATTTTCTGTTTATCCCACTTTCTGGAACATTTGATAGCAGCTTTTCACCACAAAAACATTTTTAGATTAAAATTACTTTGCCCCCTATGGTTATCTGTGGGCACTCGCAACAAATTGTTTGCTAGAGCTAACTGAGCCCCTGCTGATTGGCCCTTGGCAACTCTAACAAACTTTAAATTTCAGCAAAATGCCCAGAGATTGCTAATCCTGCAGAAGAAGCCAGGTATTCTGAAGCTAAAACATACCAGGTAATTTGATTCTCTTGATATCCTTGATAGCAAATGGCTTTATATCAAAATTAGTTATATTTTCAAGATGCTTGCCACCCAGGTGAGTTCTTATGAAACTCTGAAAATTCTTATTTGAAAATAATGCAAATTAATTGAAATTACTCTCTGTTGAGCAGAAGTGTGTAGCATTCAGTGCTTTGTTTTATGAAATAGGAAGTGTTACCAAGCTCTAAAAATCATAAACTAAAATTGACAGTTTGGGAGCAAACCATCTCCTTGACTATCAGCATTATCAATATGCATGGTACTCGAAGACTCTAAGATTTTTCTATCTTGTTATTTATCAATCACAATCGGGAGAATCTGATCACATTCATACTTTCAAACCTACTCTGTGCTGCTATTTCTACTGGTCAGCATGAAGTCCTTTCCGAAGTGGCTTACATGATCTTTATCCAGAAAAAAGTTGGAAGGCTAAATTATCAGATTCAATTAGAATTAAGATCCTAAAAATTGAATTGCTTTAGAAGAAAATAGCCTAGGATTTTAGAATATATTTCATAGTTATATTTATTTCTTCAAATAAAAGTTTCTACCTTGAAAAGTTTAAAGATTGCAAGAATATTCAGGTAATTTTGCCCATCAAGTGTTTTTCCTTCAAGTCATTTCAAAGACTGGTAGGATAATATTTTTATGTTGGTTGCTATATATCTCTAGGGAAGTCAGTAAAATTCTTTTTTTATGATTAAATCATAGCTGTGTACATTAATGCAGTCATGGGGTACAATGTGCTGGTTTTATATACAATTTGAAATACTTTCATCAAACTGGTTAACATAGCCTTCGTGTCATTTTCTTAGTTATTGTGTTAAGACATTTATCTACATTTAGAAAGATTCACATGTACCCTTATAAGATAAACCATAGGTGTGATCCCACCAATTACCCTCCCTCCACCTATCCTTCCCCCTCCCCTCCCTCTCCCCTTTCCCCATATTCTTGGGCTATAATTGGGTTATAACTTTCCTATGAAAGCTATAAATTAGTTTCATAGTACTGAGGGCTGAATACATCAGATACTTTTTCTTCCATTCTTGAGATACTTTGCTAAGAAGAATATGTTCCAGCTCCATCCATGTAAACATGAAGGAGGTAAAGTCTCCATCTTTCTTTAAGGCTGCTTAATATTCGTAAAATTCTTAATGTTCATCAAAACCAACAGATTGGGAGTCCAGAGCTATGCTAACCCTTTTTTTTTTTCAATCTAATGGCTACTTGACTTAAGCGAACTCATTCACTCATCTTATAAAGTTGTGCCTTTAGTCAGAAATAAGTGTTGGTGTTTAAAACATCATTTTGTGGATCCTGATATAAAATATGATTTGCTTTGACGTCAACTACCCAGAGGTTTTTCTATACCATGAAAGTTATTGAAGGTGGCATAGAAATTCACTGAGATCACTGGCTCTGTAGCCACTTTGCCCCTTGATATCTGTGAACTGTAGAGCAAGTTATCTGACCTTTCTCTGTCTACCCAAATCCATGGGACAGGCACAGTAGTGCCACCTAACCCACAGGGTTGTTGTGAGGCTCAAATAATTTGAGTACGTGCAAAATTCTTAAAACATTTTATGGCTCATTTTAGTGTTGTAAGTGTTAGCTTTTAATACAAGGATTGCATAAATCATTTCACTGTCTCGTTCATCAACGGCTGTTAATTCAGACACATTCCTAGTGAATATGAGGATGTGTATGGGGGGTACCAGTTGGGAGGCAGATAAGATTTCATTCCCCTGGGTGGAATCTGCTACCTCAACAGACTTAGAGTCCGTTATGCACTGCTCCATTAACTGAATATTATTTTGAACTATACCAAAAATAGTAAATGATCTCTTTCTAAAGAGGAGAAAATTAGGGCTGATGATGGAGCAAATACATGTGTCTGTAAAATCCGTTAGGATCCACTGACTTTATTTTAGTGGTGCTAAAGAATTTTCATTCTCACATTGGAATAACTAGACAGGTAAAAGGTCAGAGATTAACATATCCGCACTCGGATATAAATAAATCATACACAGTTTATACAAAGGAAATAAGACCGCTGGGGGAAGGAAGTTTATTAATACACCCCTGTGTTTTATTTCTTCTTATGACTGTAGTTCATCATCAGCAGTGCTTTAGGGTAAAACATTATTGTCTTTTCACAGAAATTCTCAAAGATGCAAGGTGTCTGTGTGGGACTGCTCCTTTTCAGTGTGGCCTGGGCAGCAGCAGTAAGCATTTACAAATTCATTTATAAATGAATTCGATGTTTCATATATAATCTCTCGCTGTGTTTTTTTAAAGCAATGTCTATAAGAATTAGTGGCATTTACCTAACTCAGTTACAGTAAAGTACCCAGCGAATGGAAAGCACCCAGTCCTCAACACAAAGGCCTGCCACGGAGGAGGCTCTCGTTACACCCGCGCTACATCATGGGATGCCTTGTTGTACTTAAGAGACCAAAACCAATATTTTTGGGAAAAACAAAAGCTGGCCACAGCATTTCAAATCATCTGACGCTAATGAGTGACCCCCAAAGACATATTACAGCATGTCTAAAGAGCCTTTCAGTATTATTACTAACACCTGAAAGAATTTTAGCGTGAATATTTTAAGGCCATCCAACTAGACATTAGAAATTGATGGCAATGCAAAAAAAAAGATGAGAACTTTTCTGTATTTCTCACAATACCCCAGTGCTGTGGGACCCTGCTGTTGGGGTGTAGGACCCCCAACTTAACCCAAAGCAAGCTCCTATTTCCTTTGTATCTTTTCTTCCCTGTGACTCACCCAGAAGAGTATTCAGGATGTGAATTATCCAAATTATCTTGTGAAAACGCTGACTGTCTCAGATATTTTCTGCACTGCAAACACAGTGCTAATTAGATAATGTCTGAGCAGCATCCCAGCTACTGAGTAACCTTTTCAGCTGGAGAACCATGGAAACAGGTGTTTACTCCATCACTAATCGCACTGAAATATAGGTCCTTGGGCACCCAGGTCCTCCATGAGAATGGCAGAAGTTGAGGAAGTATGTCCCTGTCTCAGCATACATGCCCCCCCAGCCTGGGTGGCTGCACCGCTCACCCCTGACACCTGTCAGGCCAGCTGCACATGACCTCGCCATCAGGGCCAGAGGCACACACTCAGGCACCACAGTGGTGGCGGAGTGTGCCCCACCCAGCTCTGGCCAACCAGCTAAAGATTTTATTTTGAGGTATACATTCCAAGGAGCCACGGGAGGGGAGCTCCCTGGCCATTCTATGGTGTGAATGTGCAGTGTCGACATTGAACCCATGACCACTGGGCACAAGAGGGGGTCAGCTTTCCCCCCCAGAGGTGGACAGTGCCACCTCCACTGAAGGGCACATCCCAGCAGGGAACAGACACAGAGTGAGTATGAATGGAGAAGGGAGGGTGCAGATTTCAAGTGAAAGAAGCTCAGCAAGGACAGGGAGGCAACATTTGGAACTCCAAATGGTTAAATGGGATGTTTCCTCCCATGTATAGAGATCCTATTTTATCCTAAATTCTTTGATGATAGATTTGTGGTTTAAGAAATTAGTGTATACTGAGTCACTTGAATATGTCTTAGAATTAATCATAAACCAAATTCCAAACAATTTAGGAAAGGAAAAAAATAAAAGATTTTTATCGGGTCATGCAATTCAATTAAGATTCCTCAATATGCAATATCTATTTGCATCTATCGATATCTATTGACATCTATCAATATCAATATCTATTTGTGTAGAAAGACTTTGCTATGAGTCACAATAAGTCATGAACTACACACATGCTAAGGTACGCGACACTGTCAATGGTGTTTTTAACACACCTGTGTGTGCACGCGTGCTCTGTAAGAAGATGCCAAATACCCCAGACTGTCTTTTCTTTCTTTTGCTTAATGTCTGTCTGTCTCCTTCGTTTTTATGTTTTCTTCTTCTTACAGATTTGTTTCCAAAACTATTTTCACTGTTTTGGCATTTTAAAGAATGACGCAAGGGTCTACATTTTTGTTTGTTGGCTTATTTCCTATTCATATGCGGGTACAGATGTTTAGGTTACATTTTTTTCGCTTCTAAGGTAAAGTTCAGGTTGTAGTTGAAGACCCAGGGGCTGTGCTGAACACTGTTCCATTGTGCACATCAGGTGAGATCCAGCCAATTGCCCTCCCTCCTACCCCCAGTCATCAGAAGAATCAACATAAAGAAACGCTCTACAGAATGTCATTATAAAGTACGCCCTGAAGATACTTAATATAAACTTCAGGAACATTTTCTTTTATTACTAAATTTTTTTCATATTTAATCATTTAAATTTAATTATTTTAACTCTGGGACTTTGAGACAGAGGATTTAGATGAAAATACCTTCTCTTCTCCCACTACCACCACCAGCTGTGTGTCTCTTAGGAGTTACTGGGGACTCGGATGAGATTATCCATACAAAGCAGTTTAATATATAAATATGAGGGGTTTTGACAAACTATTGCTTGTTCCTAAAATGAAACAGAACATATTAGGCAGATACGCCTTGGAGTCCAGCTAAAGAGATGGATTTTCTCAACTTTTGAGATTTTATTTCTAAGATGATTTTTTCAGCCACACTGTAGTCAGGAAAAGATAATCCACAATCGAGAGTTCAGTAGAGGGATTTACTGGGAGAACTCGCCATAAAGTACAGGAAGGACAGAAAGGGCAAATCAGGTGTGACACGGGCACCCAAAGATTGAAATTACTCCCACCCCTCGGGTTGGAAGGAAAAGCAGGAGGTGGTGTCTCCAGTCTCCTCTGGGGACTAAGACCACAAAGGAGTCGGATCCAGTCCTGGAGTTGGGGTCCCAAAGACAGAAAGCAGGGGAGGAAAACACCTTGGCTGCTTCTCCTTCTACCTTCCAGTCTCAGGCCACGACTCCATCAGCCAAAGCCAGACTGAAGCCAGACGGCAAAGGAGCTTGGGAAGTGAGATTGGCAGGAAAGGAGCTTGGGAAATGGGATTGGCAGGAATCAGCCCAGATTTCTGGGCTGGAGAATACTGGATCTGGAGCAAGCAGGAGAAATACCAACATCTGACTGCCAGTAACAATCTCTGTGTGTAAAGTCAAATGCAGAACTTTAAGGCTTATTCAGGAAGCAGGCTTTCTTGGTAACTGAGACAGCTGGGCTAAGTGGCTCTCATACCACCTGTCTTTGTATTTCATCTTTCCCTTAAGGGAGTCTCTCCCTGATGGAGCAACCCACCATGGTGCCTGCTTCCATGGTCGCACACAGACAAAGAGGAACCAGTCCCACATCTGACATGGGCTAGGAATTTGAACTGAAATAGAGAAATATAAGCACGGAGAACAAGAAAGTTATGTTTATTCCTTTCACAGAAAACTTGCTCCAGGATCCTCAGGTCTCATTCTGCATTCTGGCCTATGATATATAAACTTTAGGCCAAAAGCCTGAGACGAGCTGCAGGGGTCTATTTTTGTTTTTTTAGTTTTGGGCCTTTCTGCACTTCAATAGCTACCTCTCACCTCTAGGTACCCTCAAGAAATTCTGAACATTTTATATCAAATTTTAAAAAGACAAAAGAATTTGTCTCAATCTACTAGCCACCTCTATTTTCTCTTGCCTGAACCAAATGTCCAGCCAGGTGACTGACAGAGGAAGGTTATATACTTCCCTAAGGGGTGACCCCTTACATGAATGGTTATGGTTTTACTCCTGCTGGACCACCAGCACCCTCCCATTTTATCTCAATATAACAATTACTGAATTTATATAATCAGTGTGCACATAAAGTCCACATCCTTGAACTCTGATTTCAATTCACTTGTATTTAACAATTTCCAGCATGCCAGCAAAACCTTTTTTGGTGGATTCCAATGACAGCCACGCTCCTTCACTCAGAGTCGCTCCTTTCCCCCCACCACACCACTCAGTAGTTCTCTGAGCTTAAATCCTCTCTGTAAAGGAGGGAGCATTGTCTCCCTCTGAGGGAAGAAAGTGGGCGCCATCTTCCGTAATGTTGAAATAAATATTAAAAGTGAGCAGTGCCTCCATCTCTTTTTGGTTACCAATAATTTTCCACATGGACAACCCTGTGAGAGAAAAATAAATGAAACATTTGTTGTTTGAAGAAGTTAATGGGAAAGAAAGACTGTTCTATTTGGTGACGTTTTGTTCCTTGTTTCCTTTCAGACATTTCAACCACAGACGGAGAAAACTAAGCAAGGGTGTGTGGAAGAACAGCCGGTAAACAGAATTGGTCTTCTCAAATAACTCTTTTTCAGTTCTGTAAAGAAAAAGTCAATAGGAGAATATTTTAACTGTCAGAATAGTCTTGGGTCCTCATTGGAAGTGTAAGGTTATGCAGCATCGTTTTGGTACTTCCTACTGAACCAGGGATTGTAATTCCCACAAAGTGTGATTGAAAAGAGAAAGGCTTCCTGAATAGAGAGGAGTTTCTCCTCCACGTGGTTTCGTCCTTCAAATGAAACAGGGGTTTGCCAGGCAACATCCAGAGGAACGAGTAAGAATTCTAGAGTATGGTTACTAGCCAGCGATGTCTCTGCACTCATACACATGACAAACATTATTCTCTGAGATGACAAAAAGAGAAAACGGGGAAGGTGGCTAACAAGTCTTCGTGGGGGAATTCTGTTTACGTGGAGTTCCTTTTCCATCTGCATCCAGAAAGTTAAACAAAGCCTCTCAGGTTTGCACGTCACCAAATCACAGCTTATGTCTGCCTGTTGTGGTTTCTCCTGACAGTTCTAGAAAATTCTGTTCTAAGAACTAACAATCTTCTGTTCTTGATCTCAGCTGAAAATTATAAGGCCAAAACTTCAACTTTAAGAGCCTAAATGTTCATGCTGTGAATTTTGCCAATTGGACAACAGACACAAATATTGTAAAACCTGCCTTTCTCCTAATCCCCTCTCCCTTTCCCACCTGAAAATATTTCCAAATGCTTCATTTCCATTGGAATTTGGTAACAAAATTGATGCACCCTGGGAGGGAAAGCAGCAGTCAGTCACTTAGGGAAAACAGATATAGAGACGCCTGTTGCCTTCAGGGCCTGGCTGACCCACGCCCCCCTGTGGTTATAAGAAGTATTACCGTTTGTCAGAGGCAGATTCAACTTTGCCCAAGTTTGAAAAAAAAAAAAAATCTCAGACTATTAAAAAGAGAGCCAGAACTCTCCTTACTAAAAGATAAACCCACCTTAATATAATGTTGTGGGTTTTTTAAGATAATGTACAAGGGTCACCATGAGAAACATAGGTATTATATTTTTAAGGATGTTTATACATCACCTGGGAAGGAAAATTAAACTGACGGTTAGCTGAATGTTTGAGTGACTGTCCTTATCATGAACCAATCTCCAGACTGACGCTAGGAAAGCCTGAAAGGAAAGAGAAGCTCACTTCTGCCCGCTCTGGGGCCTCCGTCTCTGGCTGGCTCCTTTGCCCTTTCCCCCACACTCCTGAGCTCCTCGGCCTCTGCACTACAGAACTCTGGGCTCTGGACATTCCTGATCCCCATGCCGGCCCGGACCTTGCTCTGCCTCAGGACCTGCTACGCAGGTGTGCTTCTAGTGGACACCAGATGCCCAGGAACTGCTATGTTACCGCTTCTGAATAATGTTTGATCTTTTATAAAGAGGTTTTTTTGAACATATTCCACCATATGTTCTAATGGTGGGGATTTCACCAGGGGAAAGTTAATAGGAAAAGGTTTTTTGGCCTGAAAAGTGACACATTTTAGTGTCCCTTAAATTTATTCCAGGGATGACTCCGTGTCAGATGCTCCGAAGAGAAAGAATGAGGCACTTGTCCCCGGGACAAAAATAATTCTTTTCATGCCGTCCCTTCTTGCAGGCTAATTGACCAAAGGGCTGGAAACAGCTTAAAACACCATCAGCAAAAGAACTATTTGCTTTTTCCGAATCTGGCTTCATTTCCCCCTTAGAAGCACCGGTTTCCTTTCACAATGTTTTTTCTTCTGCTCAATATATTTGGATGGCATCTCTAAGACTACAAGTGTTTATGTAAGCAAGTTAAAATTTATTTATTTAACAAATGTATGTTGAGTTCTTTAGACTATTGTGTAAGATGTTATGTCAGATAAAAGATTGAGAACACTTAATTATTTCCTTCCACGATCTTAGAGTTAGGAAATAAACAAAAGGTACTTAACAGAAATTACAAATCAAGACAGAATGTGGAGGACTATATGAATGGGAGCCCCACAGACACACACCAAAAAAAAAAAAAAAAAAAAAAAAAGAAGAAGAAGAAGAAAATGATCTACTTAGGAGTTTGGAGTAGAAAGAAATTAGTTCCTGTTATGGTGTTCAGGGAAAGCTACATAATAGAAGTAATTGAGCTGGGCCTTGGAGGATGGGTTGGATTTGAGCAAACAGAAGTGAGCGGGAGAGGCCATTCTCCATGAAAATGAATCATATGAGCTGAGACACAGAGACAGAACAGCAGAGGAAACCAGACCAGCCGACCAATGCATAATCCATCCTGCAGTCAGTGATGCCACCAGAAATCATTTAACATAAACAAATGCAAAAAAAAAAAAAAAGAAAAGCCTTTTCTATTTTTTTAAAGTATTTTTTCCTACGTAAAAATGATTGACCATCGCATACTACCGTTTAAAAGTTGTTTTATATTTTCACTTTAAAAAGAACTCTATTTAGGGGTCTTCTAATAGCTATTTAGTATACGTACTTCTCTTTTAAAAGCAGTGAAAGCACCAAAAATAAAACAAAACTTCCCACTTCAGTGTAGGAATAGAAAAAAAATAGGAAGGGATTATTATAGTCTATTGAGTCTCTAACCCACCTGTTTAATTCAAAAGGTTCTATTAGCTATGAGTAAATGGATTTAATTGCAGAGGACAACATGAATGTCAAAGTAATACTTTCCAAGACTCAGGGTCTTAAAATAAGTCAAATGTTGAAAATGCCTTTTATTTAGAAATATGCTACATCACTACAAAGTTTATTTCTATTCTTTTTTCTTGTGGAAAAATCTCAGTTATTGTCAGAAGATACCAATATAAAAAATTGGTGAAAAATGGTATCACGATTTTAATAGATAAATCACTTCAAATTATACCTTAAAATACTCATGTAGACTGCGTCTTAGGCAGCTTCTTAAAAGTAGAGGGCTCTTCTATAAACCATTTTTATTTTGAAATTCAAGTGTAAACAGATTCAATTTCCCTACGCTTCCAACAGTTAACAAGATACATGTATAAAAACAAACAGTCCTTGGAGTAGAACAGTACTCCCGTTTGCGAATGGAAAAAAAAGAAAGAAAGGGATAGAAAGAGAGCCCAACTAAAATTTAGAATCCATTTGGGACAACATACCATCATGTGCTACAAGCTTCTAGAACTCACAGCCAGAGGATGCCGTTCAGGCAGAACCTGGGCAGGGAGGTCCAGAGCGAGCCCCTCTCCATCTGCCACTATAGCCAGTGTTAGAGAAATCCAGGGACTGGGAGAACAGCTATGCATCTGATAATCAGACAGCTGTCACTGCCATCGCGAAGGAGAGCAATCTATCGTTCAGTGCAGGGCTCCATACACCGCTGTATGAAGTCATGGTGACTGTCATTTATATAGAACTTGTTTTATGATAGGTGTGCTAGAGGCTTTATGTGCATTGTATCATCTAATAAAACCATTGCATTCTACCAGCAATCCTGAAAGGTAAGTATCATTTTTCTTATTTTATAGCTAAGAAAGCTGAGGCTCAGAATAGTAAAATAAGGCTCCCAAGATCACAGAGCTCACAAGTGGCTGCATTAGGCCACTGATGCTAATACATGTGCTCATTCCACAGCAAAACTACGTTCGATGAACATGGGACTGGGGGATTAAGAAAGACCATCTGGCAACCCCCGCCTGCTATTTCTCTGTGCACTGATCCCTGTGATCCTGGCTTCCCCGAGTCCAGCTTTTCTGTCCTCTGCTATTTTCCCTACACTTTTGCCCCGATAGTAAGAACTTCCAGCTGACTGCTTTCTTTTTTCTCCATCCAGGAGGTCTCACCTATTTTGACATCTTTAATTAACACTTCTAAGATGAGATACCCACATCTCTCAAGAGCCAACATGTGGAAGTGGTAGCCAAAAAGACAGGACAAAATTAAGTCATATTGGTAAAAACAGGGCTATGGCCAGGGCGAGGAAGCTCATGGGTGCCCTGGGTTCTGGGCTGGTCAGGCCACATCCAAGTCTGGGGCTGATGTGGGACCCCACAAACTAAAGGGGGATCCATCATCAAGTGATGGGTCTAAACATAGTGACCTCATATGAAAAACTCCAAGTGTTAGCCTGTAGAGGGGAAGCATCCGTGAGTTTGGAGGAAAATGAAACGTCTTTCAACCCTGGCAGGGTTTCAACCTTAATAGTTGTTGCATCAAGATAAATGGACACTAGTTTCAGGTTAAAAATATTTTTAACTGAAAAAAATTACAACTAAACATAGGTGAAAAGGTCTGGCCTGAAAAGTAATAAGCAGTTAGGCCAATAATGTGGGTTGACCATAGGGTCTGACACATGGGGAGGACTTGTGCTGGGTGACCCCTGAGAGTCTGTGATACCAACTCCAAATCTCTAACTGGATATTCCCTTAACATCAATATGCCTAAAAGCATAGTCATTATCTTTCTCATCCTGCCTTCATTTTTACATCTCAACGTTCTAGTTCATTTTAGTTATTAAGCCTTCTTCTATTTGGGCACCAATAAGAAGGTTTTTTACCTGATAATGTCTTTCTTTGGCTTAATCCTAACCCAAGTGATTACATTTCATTCCTGGATATTACAAAAGTCTCCTAATTGTTCTTTCTTACTACTGTTGCTTCTAAACTCCTGATTTTCTTTTCTTTTCTTTTTCTTTCTTTCTTTTTTTTTTTTTTGAGACAGAGTCTCACTATGTCACCCTTGGTGGAGTGCTATGGCATCACAGCAACAGCTCACAGCAACCTCCAACTCCTGGGCTCAAGCGAGTCTCCTGCCTCAGCCTCCCAAGTAGCTGGGACCACAGGCGCCGGCCACAATGCCTGGCTATTTCTTTGTTGTAGCTGTCATTGTTGTTTGGCAGGCCTGGGCTGGTTTCGAACCCGCCAGCCTCAGTGTATGTGATCAGGGCCCTAACCATAACGGGCACCAAGCCCTGATTTTCATTTTGTTAATCTCTTCTGAAATTTCACAAGCTCTTCATACTCTACGAGACGAACCCAAATCCTTCACCCTGGCATCCCAGGTCCTATCAGTCTCCTGTGCTCCTTTTGTCTTCGCAAACCCCAGTAGGAATGAGACCTACTGTCTCTGCCTCACAGCTCTGCCCAGCCCTTCTTGCCCCTCTAGGCCGACTGCCTTTGCCAATCCACAAGTCACCAGGGATTGCTCAGAACAGGTAGCACCCAGCACCATCTCTTACATGTCCCCTCCTCCGTAAATAGCTCTCATGTTGATTTCACATTACTCACCAGTTCAAAGGCCTGTGTGTTGATGTGGTAGGTCCTAGCTCACTACAACCAAAAGGTGAGAAGAAAGTACATCCTCATCCTTTACTCTGGAACTGCTCTGTTGTTCAAGTGCTCTTACCTGTGTGGTACCAGAGGGGCAAAGGAGGGTGCAGAAATTAAATTCCGTCTGTTTAAATGTAAGATTACTTAATAATGTGAGGAGTTCATTAAATAAATTCTGCAGTGTCTTTTAGATAAAAATACTCAGCTCCTCACTCCCCCTCCTCCTTGCTCTAAGATGACATCCAGGGCTGGGCTATAGCATCCAGTACGTATCACACACCACACGTACAAATGTGGCTTACACGGGAGTGGAGAGGAGGACTCGGAATCCTCAGATGTGCGCGGGACAATGTTGCTTAACCACCTGTTGCCTGCTTTTCCTGCTGCATCCTAATTTTTGATCCTCTTTGTCTGATTGACTCACATTTGTCCCATACATGTTCCCTCTAAGTTTCTCCTTTTAAAGCCTCCTCACTTCCTCTGTGGTGACATGCTCTGGAAAGCTCCCATCAGACTCTCAAATGTTTCTATGTCCAGCCTATGTCACAGAGACATAGTGAGTGGCACAGGGCAAAGTCAGACCAGCTCCCCCGTCTTCCTCCCCACATTGTTCCTGCCAAGCTTACCGAATCCTGGCCGCACCCCAGGCTAGCAGAGCCCAGGCCTTGAAGCTGATCTTTCCCAGAAAGGATAAATCAAGATACAGACGCAAGCACTTTCCTCTGCCTCCCCCACTTCCTCTTTTTTATCCCATTTTTCTCCCACGGTTATTTCTTTTCTGGACCTTTGTTACTTAAATGTATGGTCTAGAATAGTTCTCAGAATGACGTCTCTGACCAGAGCATTCGCTTCATCTGGGAGATCATCATAAATGCACATTCTAGAGCCCCACCCCGAATCTGCTGAATCAGAAACTCTGGCCTTTGGGTCCAACAACCTTTGTTTCAGCAAGACTTCCACGTAATTCCGATAAATGCCAAGTGCCCTTATTAGATGACAGAGGGAGAAGAAAATGAAATTAATGAACCCATTTTCAGACAATAGCTAGGATTTTAAAATGCTGTAAAATCCTTTGTTTAAATATCTGAAGTTGAGTATTACCTAGATTCTTCTATTTGTAGATTTTCCTGAATTTTCTGTAAAAATTTAAAAAAAAAAGAAGAAGGAAGAGAGGAAATAACAGAAAATTCTTCCTGTAGGCGGATGGATACCTCTGATGATGAGGGGAAAGTAAGAGGAGAAAGAGAGATTAATTTTTTAATTAATTTTAAATTATATTATTAACTTAAAAATATGAACTCCATTTCACTTGCAATGACTTACTAGTCAAAAGATGAGGAAAGATCACACTCTTTGATCATATTTTCCTTAAATTCAGACTCCCCCCTTCAAAATCAGGCCCTAAGCTCCATTTCCAAATTTATTTCTCTTTCTTTTCTTTAGGATTTCTCTATACCAGCCATACAGATTTATTCATATTATCTTTCCACTGTTTCCTGTTTCCAAACAACTGAATGTGCCATTCAATAAATATTCTTAAAATATCCTCACCATTTCCCTCCAATATATCTGAATCTTACACATCACACATTTTTCAAGTTCATTCTTCTTTCTCATGAAACCTGTGGCCATTCCAGAATGACCTCTACCAAAAAACCTCTGTTGAATTAATAGACCATTTTTATTAATCTGGGGGGAGGATTAATATTGCCTAAGAACTGTTAGATTTTGTACCATTTTACATAAAATAATCACTTGCCAATTGTACTTTAGCAGGAAGAAAAAAACAGACACAATATCACTCTTCATCATTCTGATACCGGAAGAAATCAAGAGCCATTGCCTAAAGAAAATACTGCCCAGGAAAGAAAGAAAAATGTGTCCCTTTCTGAATCCAATGAAAATAACCAAAGTAGTAAACCCTCAAGTCTCCTTGCACATAGACAGACACTGAAGGAAGACTACAGTATCACTAACAAAGAGAATGTCCACAATGACCTAAAGATGTCCATGTATCTCGAGTCACCTGGGAATAATGAAGCTGACAATGGGGATGATGCTGTCATCAAACTCCATGACCAAGAGGAATATAGCGCAGCTCTCATCAGAAAAAACACGCAGCCTGTAAAGGGGCCAGTGGCTGTGATGAAACTCTTAGGGGAAGCAAACAAAAAGAACAAACCTAGGAATGTTCTACACAGGATTGCAGCAGGTGTGAACTATGCTACAGCCCACTCAAAAGATAAAAAGAATCCTCAAAGACATTCCCAAGTCCAGAATAGTCCAGTAAAAGCCAAAAGCAGTCATCATATCCAACATAACACTGGCTCCCTGAAACATCCCTCAAAAGTCAAAAAGATCCCCAGTGATTTTGAAGGCAGTGGTTACTCAGATCTTCAAGGAAGAGGAGACAATGATATCTCTTCTTTCAGTGGAGACGGCCAACCTTTTCAGGACATTCCTGGTAAAGGAGGAGCCATTGGTCCTGACCTGGAAGGTATGGATATTCAAACCAGGGTTTCAGGCACAGGGGAAGCTGAGACTCTCACTCCTGACACAAGAGGGCCAGGTCATAATGAGATCCCAGAGAGAGAAGAAAATGGCGGCAATGCCATTGGAACCAGGGATCAAACAGCAAGACAGCCAGGTGCTGTTGATGTCAGTCTTGTGGAGGGCAGTAACGACATCATAGGTAGTACCAACTTCAAGGAACTCCCTGGAAAAGAAGGAAACAGAGTGAGTGCTGGCAGCCAAAACGCTCACCAAGGGAGAATAGAGTTTCATTACCCTCATACGCCCTCAAAGGAGAAACGAAAAGAAGGCAGTAGGGATGTAACCGAAAGTTCCAATTATAATGAAATCCCTAAAAATGGCAAAGGTAGTACTAGAAAGGGTACAGAACATTCTAATAGGAACCAAGCAGGTATAAATGGGAAACAAAGATTTTCTAGTAAGGGCAAGAGTCAGGGCCAGTTCATTCCTTCTCATGGCCTTGATAATGAAGTTAAAAATGAAATAGGATCCCGTTATGGCCCGGATACTGACAGGGATATAACACACAGCAGAAAGTATCATTATGCACCCCACAGACCAAATAATTCTGTGAGAAATAACGGTATACCACAAAGGAAAGGCCCCAGGGGTTACAGAAGACCCCACTCCCACGGGGGGGTTAGCTGCCCTGGAAAGGATAGTAGCAGTGAGTCATCTGACAGTGGCAGTTCAAGTGAGAGTGACGGAGACTAGTCCACGAGGCATTTGCAGACGGGTCGCGGCGTGAAGGGCTGGCCATCTATGCGTCACCATAGAGGAAAGCCACCTGACAGCCAACCCGATGAAGAGAGGACAGATGAAGAGCGGGAGGGTGATTGGTGGGGTCACCTCTATGGTTTATCTTACAAGGGTACAAGTGAATCTTTCTAAAAGCAGAGTATGAACGTTTTAACTCAATAGCTAAGAAAATGACATGAAGGTTATGTTACCCAGTTTGATGAGAGTATTTCAAAATGTATATGAAAACAGCACACTGTACCCCATGATTGCATTAATGTACATAGTTATGCTATAAGAAATAAAAAAAAGAGAGAGAGAGGACAGAGCAGGGAAATAAGTGAGCCAAGAAGGCTGGTCTGTGCAGGGGAATTTTGGTTGTCTAATGATCAGAGCATGAAATTGTACAGAAAGCTATAATTCTTTAAGTAAACAAAAAAAACTCATTAAAGATTTATGAAATAAGTAACATTTGAATAGGTGTCATTTTAAAATAGCTCATGAATGTCACCAATGCCTTGCTATGTTGTTTGCTCTGTAGACCCAGAAATAAACAATATCTCCCTCTCTCTGTTACACGGAAATAAACAGCATCTCCCTCGCTACATTAATCCGTAATTAAATGATCTGTAGGAAACTCTTTTGTCTATGATACTTCATTTCAGAGGCAATAAGATTCGCTCTGCCTCCGGCAAAGGTAGTGCCTATGGGATTAACCCCCTGGGGAAAGCTGGAACCGGCTTTGCCTTTTTTCCTTTGATCTCTCTCTGCTCTTATAAAAAATATCCTCCTAGGCTCTTTGCTCAATTGCACATTCATAACTTCTCATAAGGCAAATGCTACTTCCTGAAACATCTCCATATTATTATTTTTCTCAATTCTAGCTCCTTCCAGACAGAGAGGGGAATAGGGCCGGGGGAGGCAATAGGAAGACTTTGAGGAGAAACACAAGTGCAAGGCCAAGACAAAAGCTTAGTTTGGAAGGTTTTATTTATCGGTTGATTCCAAATCACTCCCAGCCTATTTCCTTCTCTCATGTTTTATTATAAATGCCTTTTCAGCTAATGATGACCTTGTAACACTGTTCTGGAAATTGGAACTAAGTCTCCTAGCGAGGGAGGCGGTCAGAGTTCTGGAAGGCTTTTGCTTCTCCGGATATGAAGAACTTACACCACTGGTCTACCATCCTTCCTCCTTCCCTACCCGCTGGGTGGCTCCACAGAGTGTGATGCCTGGGGGTGCAGCAGCCATCTTGTGGCCATGAGGAGGACAAAGCA